CTTGTGTTACTCTAGCGCTGCAGAAGGCAGACAAAGGGGCCTTCCCGGGACTGCCTCGCGCGCTGCTGCTCTCCTGCCACGCGCTGGGTGGACCACCCCCCTCCTCCTCCTCCTCGCGCGCACCTCCAGAGACATCCCCCTGTAGCTGAAATACCCTGCAAGCTACCGAGCGCCCATCGCCCCGGATTCTAACGGGGGAGAGCAGAGGGCGGCGGCAGCTGCTGAACAATTCCGGCTGGACTGCTAAACGCCAAGGGGCGCTTGGCTGGCTCTCCCTCCGGGCCCGTAGCTAGTACGCGGGAGCGCCGAGAGCAGAGCGGCGGGGCTGAGGAGCGAACACCGCCACTGCCTGGGCACGGGCAGGCACCTAGAGGAGAGATGGCGCGAAGACCCGCAGTCTAGCGTTAGACACTGGTTGCTAGGATACTGCGGAGCGCCTCCATTGCTAAGCAGACAAGGAAAGAATGTGCCCAGGCCTTAGCAGCCAACAGCAACAATAGGAGCACAGTCTGCTTCCCTCTGCCCATCCCCACTAGCAAACCAAATCCTCGTCTACAGTGACAACAAGGAACCCAAGCCTGGAAACGGGGCCCCACAGCCAGAGAAAACTGCTACTATAATTCCAGTGGCAGCAACTAGTGTCCCTGGATGTAAGGATCTGTTAGTGTTTCCATTATAAACCCCCTCTCCTGGGGGTACAGAACTTGGCTGCTCCTCAAAATTAGCCCCAACGCACCTTAAGCTATCTCCTCTTTGAAGTCTATTGGTGTCTGCTTAGTCCTAGTGTCTGTGAAAGAAGATGGGATTTGGATGATATTTATTAATAGCCTTTTAAGATAACAGGGAAATTAAGCACATAGGTACACTTCTACCTAAAACGGCAGGGAAATGCAATAACTGCTGCAAACCTTGAGTCAAGCCGTGTGAATTAAGGAGGGCAGACTGCCCTTCGCCTCATCTTAATCATTTCTGCGTTTTATTAAAGCAGTGTGATCTCAACTAATTCTAAGAGGGCTATGAACGTGCTGCAAATACAGCACTGAAACAATTAATAGGATGAGATGTGCAAGGTTTCAAATGGGAATAGTTCTCTCTGTAGAATGATACATTTTAAAATACAATCTTTTTGGCATCTGAAGAGGGGGAACAATCTTCTCACAGTCAAATGCTCAAAACTACACATTACAGTTACACTCTCAAACTACTAAAACATGGCAACCAGCTACAGTAGGAAATCGCATCCTTCTACCACCCTCACCTTACTAAAGAGGCCCCTGAGAGCTCACTCTGGTGAATGTGTGTCCTAAATCAAAGGATCCCAACAACATACCCTAATCTGATGCGATTACATTACCTCCTGTCAGTATTTGAGAACACATTGTATTAAATGTCTTATTGAATTGCCTGTAATCCTGCAAGTAAAGTGTTTCTTATGTAAGAAATCATTCCTGTAAACTCTGAGTAAGTGCTCTCTGTATTACAGTATTTTTTAAACAAATATCTTAGCCACAATTATTGAATTTGACCTGTGATAGAAAGGTAGCCATGTTAGTCTGGTCTAGCTGAAACAAAAAACAGGACCATGTAGCACTTTAAAGACTAACCAGATGGTTTATTAGCCCACGAAAGCTCATCACCTAATAAACCATCCTGTTAGTCTTTAAAGTGCTACATGGTCCTGTTTTTTGAATTTGACCTGACTGCATACAGGGCCTGCAGATTTGGAACTATGAGTGGTATGTTGATTTATTAGATTTAGACAAAAGTATGCCACACGGATATTTTAAAATATCTAATATTAGGCACTCACCTGGATTTAAATAACCACCTATTTTATATAAATCAACAACCCATATCTTTAAGCATCTTTTATTGCTTATCAAATATATATTCCATAGTGTCATTTTCTAAGAACCACCACTAAAACTTCAGTGAATTTATAGCTCACTTTCAAACTTCCAGCTGTGTAACTACCTTGTACTGCCCCTCAATCGGGCTGCAGTGGGGGAAAAAAAGACATATTATTCCTCGCTTATTCGGCTTCAGTGACACAAATAGTCTTCAAAGACTTTTCTATGGGGAAGCACATAACAGGGTAGAATGAATACAATGGCCACGTGTCATAACAAACTGCCAGACTGCCCTGCTTCATACTGCCCACATGGGAAAAAGTAGTACAAGAATGGCCTTAATAACCCATAAGCCATGTTACTGTAAAGCAATCCCCCTTCTCTTTCTTTCATTCGCTGTACACACCATAAGGAAAATGTCAGCTATAAACATTAGACAGATTTGACTTAATGAGGTCTCCTTCTAGCCTGTGACTAGCCTGAGTGAGTGCAGACAGGCAGGAAAAAGACAACCCAAAAGCAGGGATTCTGAGGTTTAACTCTTCGTAAGAAGTTTGATGATTATAGATGAGCTAAATACATTTGGGCGCGTCAAATAATTAAACAAAACATTAGGCGGGCAGTGATCTGAATCTAATAGAAATAGGATACACAATTGTAACGTGCACAGGAGAATCAATACTGGCTATAGTATTGGGTTGTTACTTGGATGTAGGAGCTATTATTTCCTCTAGCAGATTTGTTCCACCCACACAAATTCCCACTCACCTTATGGTCTAGGAGAATATGCTAAGTTAGTACACTGAACTGCAAACCTTTTGATAACAAAATTAAAAACATTTATTTCCAAAATGACTCTTTTAAAGTAATTGTGCCGATAGTACATGAAATACGTGTGGTATTTTGATATAAACCATGAATTTAAAAGTATACAAGCTTTCTCGTGATTACGGGACCAAACATATCAACATGTATTGGGTAGTGAAAAAGATTAAACACTCTATGGAGGATATAGTCTCTCTTCTAGATGTACTCGGTTTTCTTACTTAAACCAACTTGCATAGTCTGTGGCTGCAAATGTGAAACAAGAATAGATGACTTCCCAATTTTATTTAAAGCTTGAAAGATTTATTACAATTGTCCCTTCATCTACTGTGTTGGCAACCAAAACAGCCCAGTGGCAAAAGTCACTGGAGCAGCTTTTTTTCCTTCTGGAAAAGCTCACAAGAGCGAGGAGGAGTAAACCTGAAGGTAGGCAGAGCATTATTCAGCACATGAATCTGGTGGAAACCTGCGCATTGGTCTCAACTTTAGGATGGTCCCCAATTTTCTTGTAGTTGGACTGCATGTCAGGTAAGGAACTCCTCACACCTATTACTCCACCCACCACTTCCTCTGCCTTTCACGCCATATTACACTGCCAGCAAGACTTTGATCGGTTTTATTTTCATTCGTATCTTGAGATGAGCATTGTTCACCCCAAAGTCATTATTTCTCATGTTATCTTTAGATACATTTAATTGGTTTATGTTCATTACTCTAAAGCCCTTTATAAAATCCAATCAAATGGCACAGAACTATACTATAACCAGGGAAGTATCATATTATGACCGTCACTTTGTCCAAATGTGCATAAGTAGAGAAGGCCACATACCTCATTAGATACACCCGTAAGTCTTCCAATATATACAGTTAAGATACAGGACTAAGCTGGAAACGGAGTGAAAATTTAGGATTTCCCCATAAACTTTCTTAAACTGACACACAAAAACTGCTCTTGGAGCTCAATATAAACCTTCTAAAACAACACTCGCGTCCACCTATGGTTCCTGCCCCAGTAAACTCTGAACACCTCCTCTCAGCCCAGACAGAAGCGGCTATGCTGCATGACGAACACCAAGAAAAGCACTTTCTTACACACCTGAACAAAGGACTGCCGAGTTTTCTGTCACGTGACAGTTACGGCAGCCTCTCCTTACAAGAAGATGAGGACAGCAAAGACTGCTAAGGATGGAAACAAAGCACAGAGCAAAGAAACAAACCCTTCTCTTCCCCTCAGCCCTTTACTCCTGTTGGGCACAGCGTAGGAGTTTCCTAGCAGCGCATAACAACATGTGCTCTAATCCTCAGCCATAATTGGCTGACTGCATACATGCCATGCAACTTTTAACCTCGGAATTTCCTTGGTTATGTCAGTTATATCACCGCCTGGGGGGATGATTTAAATGCAAGTTAGCAGGTGTAGTGGGCCGGATTTATATTGTAAATCTCCTCTAGTAGTTCGGTGGGCTTGGCTGCTAAGCTACAGCCAAGAGCCAATTTTTATATCCAAGTTGTGCGTCCCAATGGGCGGTGTTTAAAACCTAAAAAATGTGCAAACTTAGCTCCCTACCCACAGCCACAGCTCAGAGACATCCTTAGCCCCCGGAAACGTGCAAAGCAGTTATGCAGAACGCTGTGGAACTAGTGACATGTGGATTTGTATCAAGTAAGACCTTTGAAACCCCCACACTTGTCAGATGCAGTCCCAAATTTAAAAAAAAGAAAGAAAAGCAAGAGATTGGATTTGCCTTTCTGGATGCTGACTGACATCAGCTCAGGGATTAGCAACACCTTTGTCGGGGGAGAAAATCAGTTTGTGATAGATCAGCCTACACCCGAATCCGGATAGTAAATTCTATTTTGCTTCATATAGTTGACATGTCAAACACCCAGCACTGCGGATACACTCAGCGCAGAGACCAAGAGCACAAAAAAGCCAGACATAAGATCGTACCACATTGGAAAAGACAGTCTGATGGTGACGCTGCCGTTAGCGGGGTTATTGTTTGGATGGGCAAGGTTACACCAGCGCTAGGGAGAATGCGCTTTCCCCCTTCACGGGTTGGGAACTCTGCTCACAGTGGGCTCGGAAATACCTGGACATTGGACAGAGACACAGCGGGATACGGATGCGTGCAGCTACCGTGGCTGAAGAAATGTGGGCAGCCCAGAGAAGCGTGGTTGGGGGGGGGGGGGCATTTCTGAGGATGAGCACAGAAATGGAAAGCAGAAGGTGCAGGACCCGTCTAAACAAGTGGATGGACAGACAATACAGAGACCATTCAACTACCAAAGACAGGATGTACACAACGCTTAAACCCTGCTTACTGTGGGCTCTTGGGGTAGAAGGGCAGGGTGACATGGCTGAGATCCTGGATGTCAAATGCGGTGGGCTCGGCTGAAATTGCCTGCCTCTTGGTCCTGTGTTCCCCCTGCAGGGTGGTGGTGGTTTGCTGATGCGCCTGCTGGGTGGCGGGCCGGATCACCGAGCGGTACTTATCCAGCTCGTTTTGTAGTTTCTGGATCAGTTCGTCCTTCTGATCCAACTCCAGCTCCAGCTCGTCGATGAGCGCATCCCGCTGCCTCAGCTCCTCGATTTTCTCCTGCAGCGCGTACTGTAAATCCCGCAAAGTGCCCATACTCCTCCTGGGGCCAGGGGCTCCTGCTTCCGGAGCCTGTCTCTCTCCCCCGCTCCCAGCAACTTTCCCCGAAGTACCCGCAGCTTCCCCACTTCAGCCAACTTTGCCGATCGCTCCCGATCGACCTGCCGCCGGCGGATTCCTCCAGCCCTTTAAACACGCCCCCAGCCTGCGCGGGGGCGGGGGGAGCTTGGCAGCGATCCGCGCAGAACTACGGAGGGAGGATTAGCGACATAATCTTAAACGGAACCCCACCAGCACCACTCTCCCGGAGGCTGGGTTGTTAAGGGTGATTTCGATCTGCCTGCGTCAGGCTAGACTGGAGAGAGGGAGAGACTGGAGGGGGGGAGAGGAGAGAGAGAAAGGGGCGGCTGCAAGATGCGGTAACACATGCACTTTCCCTAGGACTGTGTCAGGGGCAGGGCTACTTTAAGTGTAATTAGTTTCCCGGAGTCTCTACCCTCCACCCTGCTTCGGAAGAGGGGGCATGATGCGGCGGCAGCTTTGCAATTCCAGACTCTTCAATATTTCTCCAGCAAGGCCCCGTTTTCTGGGCAGGTCCAGCATTAGAACCGGCTGCACCCCTCACTCTTCCCCACATGAATAAATAAATCACAATGCTGCCAAACCTAAAGCAATGGCAGGAAAATCTGCGCCGTTTTCTGATGCCACCCAACAAAGTTACCGCTGGGGTAGGATGGCTTCGCTTCCCCCTTTGCCAGGCATTCAGATTTTACAGCCAACAGCTTATCCAATAATTCACTGTAATTACAACTATTAGACTAAGCAGGTATCTATTGTTAAGGTTTCACACGCCATTAAGTCCGTTTTAAGTTTGGAAGAAACCTAAGGAATCATTCAGCCTGAACCAGACTGCTATTCAAATGCTGTTCGCGGTGGGACTGGGGGTTCAAATGCTGTTTGCGGTGTGACTGGGGGTTCTTCCTGGACCTTGCCAGGCTTTGGCTCACCCAAATTGCACTGCACGGACCCAGAACTGATATAACTGCTCCTATTGTCTCTCTAAACAGGCACACCCTGACAGAGCCTGTGGCTTGTGTAACCCAGAGGCACTGAGACCACTGACATGGGAGCATGATGAAGTCTGCCCTACAACCTTAGCTATAGAGCAGACTTCACTCTCCCGTGGCAATGGTCTCAGTGCCTCTCGGTTACACACGGATGTTTCAAAAATAAGTGGATGGGACTAGGATCCTGGCAGTGATGGGCAGCAATACCAAAAATCCCACTAGATCTATGGAGGACAAGCATAATTTCCTCCAGTGCTCAAAAAATCCCTAGACCCCGCTGCAGTACAGTGGATGAAGAGCACAAAATAGGTTCCAATAGCTGGATCCAGCCAGCTTTGATCTCTCATCTTCCATATCTCACAATGTCAAAAGAGACAGAGTTCATCTAACACAGGAAAGGCAAGATCCAACCAAATTCCAGTAGAACAGTGTGAAGGACCTAGCACTTTGATTCTGCCAGTTTGACCACACTCACTCAATTTCTAGTGTCCTGTAAAGTCACAAAAGCCTTTGGCCATATATCCCCAAGATGTAAGTGAAAAAAGTGGCTATATCCTCCTGGATCCATGTGCATATTTGGATTTTCACATGTTCATATGCCACGATATATATCACATGGCATATTTGGATTTTCACATGTTCATATGCCACAATATATCACACATGTTTATTATGAAAGAGGACCTGACATAAAATAGACTATTTTCTGGATCTAGCAAAACCCAGGTGTAAAGTGTGCATTTTAGTTTTGTCTTACAAATGATGTGCTTGATGCACAGATCTTCTGGTCTAGCAGAAGCAGTGATATAGGTTTGGATAATATGAGGTGGGGTGTTAGTGCTAAAAAGAGGTAGGATTCAGCAGGGCCTTCTATCACAATTATAGAATTTAGGGGTTTTAGGGACACAAGATCCAGGTGAATCCAGATGCTGGATCTGAGTTGTTACAGCTTTCATGTACCAGAAAGCATCACGATTAATTTTTTGTCAGGTTTTAGGGACACAAGATCCAGGTGAATCTAGATGCTGGATCTGAGTTGTTGCAGCTTTCATGTACCAGAAAGCATCAAGATTAATTTTTTGTCAGAATACTAGACTAGCTCTTCAGTCTTTTAGGCATTAGAATTGGGAGGAGGGAGGACCAAAAACTGACAGAAGGTGGCAGCTGTAGGGTTCCACAAATGAATGGTTGCAGCACTCATGTAGTAAGATGTGTCAGGGTCCAAACTTTTTTTAATGCAGTAGGAGTAACTAGATTCATTCCCCAGTTGTGGCTTTGTACTGAAAATATACAAGATACTTCAAAATGCAGACGGATCCAGTTTTTATCTTTTTCTGTTGTTGAGTAATGCCACTTGAGTGACTCTACAGCCCCAGCTTTCCACCTGCTGATAGTCTCTATAATATAGATGGATGAACATCTAAAAAAACCACGTTCTAAATCCCTTATAGTACAAAATGATTGTTTTAAAGGACTAAACATTACCATAAATATTTGGTGAGTCTCTGCAGCTTCCTGCATGTATTTGATTCTCTGTATATTTTTCAACAAACAATTTTGGGTTACACAATGCTCAAATACCATTTCAAATAAATATGCAGCAGTTTAAATCTTTTAGCTGGGCTGTTTTAAACCAAGAGTGATACAATTTCATTTGTCTTTTCAAAATATGGACACTGTGTAAACATTTTAAGTTCAGAACCCAATTTGCTGAATATTTTCTCCCACTTCATCTTAGTAAATTGTTTGGGTTCTATCACAATATTTCTATGATAAAGATGAGTGCATCTGCATAACTTTTGCTGTTTACAAAATATAAATGAATGCTAAAATTGATGTATTATTTCCCTTTCTTTAAATCAACATATTTATTTTTTCTTTCTTTCCCCCAATCAGATTAGACCCTGACACTTAGATAATGAAATTGTATGGCTGCTGACTGAAGCCCAGACTTCAATACAATTGTTACCCAAAGTGGAAATTGATCCATAACTTTTGAGTAGCAAATAACACCACATAATTCTTTTATTTAGATTTCATTTACAGTGCATAACCTACAATCTAGATAGCTATATGTTACATGAAAAAGGAAAGACATCCATGAAATTACACTGGATCAATAAAGCTAGCAGAGGTGCACAAGGTCAGGACTGATGTGTTTTATATAGCGTCATACACATGAAGCTCTGAAATAGGTTGACATCAATGGTTATAAAAGCTTGCACATCTTCTGCTTACTTTGTCACTTAAACCATTGTTATTGGCTACTCATATTTATGAGCAATGAAACTGGTCATATTACTCTAAATTCTTTCTAAAATAAAAAACATACTTATGGATAGAGGACATGCTCCTGTGGTAGCCATGGGAACTGAGATCCAAAGACAGTTTGAGTGACAAATTACAACAAACACCACCACAAATAAACACGGAAATAATCTTAATAGATATAACTTTAAAACCAAAGAATCCCAAAGCACTTCTACTATCAACAAAATCTTGCCAGGTGATCGACTCTGATGACTGTTGGCAGCAAAAAGTAACAACCATATTTGTTTTCTAATATCCTAAGGATGCAACAGGGCTAATTATGAATTCAGTGATGATAAGAACAGCCATACTGGGTCAGATCAAGGGTCCATCTAGCCCAGTATTCTGTCTTCCAACAGTGACTAGCACTAAGTGCCCCAAGATGGAATGAACAGAAAAAATAATCAAGCAATCCCACCCCATCACCCATTTCCAGCCTCTGACAAACAGAGGCTAAGGACACCATTGCTACCCTTTTTTGCATTTCTTGAGGAGAGCCCATGTGGAGTTAATAGATTAGATAGGCAAACCCCGTGCATAAGAAATCCCAGCACTGTAATTTAGGGAACACATCCAATACAACTGCAACATCCCTGACCACATTGGTTCTCTGACACAGCCCCAGCAGCACTCACCACGCTGTGGCGAACTGGGGCAGTCTTCTCCCATCCTTGTACCAGGACAGCCATTTCAGCTCTTTCAAGTGGATACAACCCTGCTCTTCCCAGCAAGAACCCCCACAGAATCCCCTACCCATCTTCATTTCTGGTGGTTCCTCTACGTCCAGCAATCTATCGACACCTACAGGGCTGGCGAAGTTTCTTCACCACTCCCTCACCTTCAGCCTTTGGTTCCTGCTTAAAGCCAGCAGGCACCAGCCTTTTTTACTTTCAGACTTCAGCTGTCTTTAGTCTTTGCTCTCTGTCTGGCACAGGAAGAACAGCAGGCTGTCCCTTCACTGTTTTTTTTAAACCCCCTCCTCCCAGAACAGCAGGCTGTCCCTTCACTGTTTTTTTAAACTCCCCCCTCTCCCCCCAGCCCTTTTCATCCTTCTAGGCTTTGGCCTTTGAAATCAGTAAGCTAGCACCACCACTGGCTTCCTGATAACTGCCTTCTTCCTAGGAAGCTTCTCTGTTCACTGCGGTTTTCTATACAGGCTTCCTCTATTCTCCTGGGTTTTCCTGACTCCCTAGGATTCTCAGTCACTGGGTCACTCCCAGATCTTTTATGGCTTCCAGGTGCTACTGTAAGGATCAAATGCTGTATATGTTAATGTTATATTGGCCCACCTTCTTAATTAGCCACATAGGGAGCACCTGTTCCTGCACTGGGGCATCACACCTGCTTCATTTACAGAGTTCTTATTACAGAACTTTAATCCCAATTCTCTGTGCCTTCATAAGTATTAATTGACTAATTTAATGTATGTCTCTTCCAGCTGAGAAATCCTCGTGAAGCACCTGCCTTAGAACTCCACAGTGGACTGTACAACAAACAGTGGAAGAATGAGGTACACAAACTAAAGGGCCCATAGTTAATGAGTTCATATGCGGCTAAGTATCCTATGATAAAGGTCTGATTTTAGAATGACCACTTAATTTTTCTTAAGTATCTGTCTAGATGCTATGCACACAGAATACTGCCTGATACTCACTGGTAAGGTAATGATAAAAATGAAAACAAAAAGGCATCTTAAATGTGAAACAGCTATAACTTCTCTGAGGGACAGAACCAATTTTAGCTTTACTATGAACCAAAAATCTTTGGCAGGGTAAATCTTCATAATAGTAAGCATTCTTGTGAACCCCATAAGTCTATTGCAGAGCAAGCAACTGTAGTTCTATTCTCCACCCTTTCCAAAAGGTCCCAGTAGGCCGATACATACCCATTAGTATGTCAAGATCTCTGATCCTTGGCACAAAAGAGACAGCCTATTAGAGAGGATGCACACATCTGTG